AATTTGTTGAACGACTGTTTCTGCTTATGGCCAAAAATAAAAATTCAATAAAAGAGGGTAACATCAAAAGAAACACGCTGCACATACGAATCTCATATCGTGACAAGGGAATAGGCGGAATTTCAATGAGTATATCGAGAACCAGATACCTCAGGTATAAGATATTCTTATGCCTTAGAATTCAACCGCATATGGCTTGTCTGACTAGCGTATCACCGTAGTTGTGAGACCAAAATATCTGATATTGCTGCCCCGCAGCTCGAACAGAACATCGAGCTTTAAAAACAGATTTAATGAGATTATTTGAAATTATAGCTGTTTTTTAACGGCAGTCGTATTCTATAGGTACCAATCATTTCACTTCTTTCCACTTTTAAGCGGTCACGTGCCAACTGATTTTTTAAACTGATTCTGTAAAGATTTTAATCTGCATTTAAACAGTTGGTGGAACTTACCACGTGAAAGAAGTCTTGTGGTGTGAACCCAAGTTTTTCGGCACAGAGCTGAAATTCGCTGTTCAAATCGTTGCCAAGAAGGGTCGGGTCATCGGTATTGATCGAAAAGTTGCCCTTGTCTTCAAGCAACCTGAACAGAGACTGCTCTCAAAGTCACAGATTGTTTTAAAACCACTGAAGTACTTGTGCACTGGATGACTGTCCCATTTATTACTTACGGCACCGGTCATTACGCTGGACAGCGGGCAAATTTCGAAATGAATATTTTTTTTCTTCGCTAGGTCATAAACGGACAGGTCTCGAAATACGCGATAACCATGACCTATTCGATTTACGTGCAGTTCCTGTATCGCCTAAAATAATTAAGCAGTAAGTGAAGATATGAATGTACAAGAAATCCTCCTCATCGACAGACCTCCTTACCTTGAACAAGGTCCGTGAAACGCGGGCTTAAATATCGACACTGGACAATCTTCCAACTGACAATACTGTTATCGCTGATTATAAATAAACCATAATTTGTGAAGTTATTGATCCATTGTTAGTGGAGTTTGGATATTCTGGTGTGGAAACTCCGTTGCCTCAAAACTCAAGCGATTAAAGAGAACAGGCAATCCTTCCAAATTTTTCTGTTTATAAAGAGCCAAGCACATTATTTTTTATTGTACAACCTTAACCGTGACATTCTTCTTTCTAGATTCATTAGCAGTTTATATATTGGCATACAGAGTGGTAATCTGTACACAGAATAGTCAATATGTGGATGAACTGAAACTGGTTTAGGGATCAGTCTGAACTGATCTTATGTTAGTTTAGAAACAAGGTTCGGAAAATGCATCTCCTTACATGAGACTGCCAGAAAAACCTTTACAGCAATTTCAGCTCAGTAAATTTACTTTACTGGTTTTTACTGTAAAATGCACTAGTGAACCTGACAAAGCATTGAACAGCGGTAAAGGATATCGTACTAATTTTATAGGATTGAAAACTTTGATTTGGAAAGAGTCATACAGAGGACTGTATGAGAAATAAATGTGGCTATAAACTGACTGTAAGAGACTACTATTTTAAGGATGAATGCAGAATGATTGTCGCAGAGGTGGAAAGTTCCATTCCAAGCACTATGGTCTTTGGCGAAGATGATGACGTTACTATCAGTTTTTGGTGTTCTTGGGCCGATGTGATTAGATGTACATCTCCAGACCAATAGCTAGTGACTCCTTGTGCAACTGCACATCTTTGTTTAGAGTTGCGCCAGGTTTTTGGCGAGGATGATGACGTCGTCTGTAGAGATTAGATGAGTGAGCCGTCCTCCACTGAGGTTAATGGCGCCGCCTCAGTTCGAACGGTTAAACGGTGTTTAGCACCGTCGCGAAACGTTTCGAAGAGACAGTGTGCTTTCACTTTCGGGTACTTCTCTCTTGATGCTGATTTGAAACGATTCCTGTCGGTTGCGGTATCAGTATTCAGTTCATTGAACAGTTCGAGCCGCACTGTCGATACTGCAGTCTGCATAGCATTGAGTGTTTGCGCTCTGCTCGATCGAACTGAACCCGTTTCTGAAGTCGATGAATACGTAGCGAATGGAAACTGGTGTATCTTGCATTTCTCTGTCAGCTGCTTCACGGCATGCATGTAGTCTGCGGTAGAGAACCCTTGGAAACCGTTTCGTTTCCCACTGCGTCCGCTAGGATGATTCTGGTAAAAGTTTTGTAACCTTGTGACAGCAGAGTGATGATTAGTTAGTTCTGGAAGCTTTCAGAATCGTCTTCTTGAAGAGAAGTGTCGCTGAAGAGCTGTTCCATGCTTCTGGCGTCTTCTACCGTGTAAATCGTTCCGCTATGAATTTACAAATTTCAGGTGTTCCCGTTTAATGACGTCGCTGCAAGGACATTTGCAACTTTTGGTATTCTTCACTGCCCATTCTCTTCCTTCCACGTGACATCGGGAACAGCTAATTTGGCAGCATGCAGCAGCTTCCGGCTTGTCTCTACTTTTGAGCAGTAGAGGGTGAAGGTATTGCAGAACGTCGTGCCGATCGCGCTCTTCTGACAGTAGTCTTTCGCTGTTGCTTTTTTCGTCCTGTAGTGCTACCGGCATCCACTTTTTTAGAAGGATGCCATTTTTAGAACATTTACTCTATTCTTTAATGCGGTCTCTCTTGGCTTTGTTCTCCTGTACTCCGTATAATCCCGCAAAATGTTCTTTTGTATTTCTTTCCACAGCGCAACGTACTCATCGTGCAGTTTCCAGTATGCGTTCATTGAGGTTCTTCTGGCCAAATGGCACATCGTTAGACGGCTAATGCGTTGTTACCTCGTCGACATTGCCGTCACTGATGGATGACCGGATGTAAGCTTTGAGGGCATTAATGACGTGCTTGTAGTCTGCATGCATGCCTCTGCTTATGTTTTTTGCGACGTTTCGCTGAGGATGTTTATCTGTGAAAATTTCAAGATCGAATATTTGTCTGATTGCTGGTTTAGCGACGTCGATAGTAACTGTGGGGTTAAGTCTATGGTCTGACCCCATGTAGACAACGTTTTCCTCAAAGACAGCCACGTGTTATTATCTTTCTTGCGCCCATCAAC